AATGCGATTGCTTTGCAACCCTACAGCTCCGAAAGGAAGCGCCACAAGCTAAGCCTTGAAAACTACAAATGGAATTGACTGCAGCAAGGAATGAAAGGAAGGAGTTTAAGTAAACGTTCAGAATGAAGTATGGAGTTGAGTGAAAAAAAAGAGTATGGCATTTTCTAGAATGAGCGTAACTGTGGGTGGTGGGTTGGATTCCGAACAGCTGCTTGTTTGAGTCGAACACTTTATTCCAGAGAGTACAACTTTGACAAGTCGCGCAAATCCGTCAGTTTTAAAAGGCAGGTCATAGATGTTCGTCAAGCAAAAAAACGTTTTTAGTGAAGAAGGCAAAAAAGGCAAGATTAATGAGTATTTGGTCCTTGCTGGGATTATTGGCGCAGTGGTCGCAGTGCTTTTCCTTTTCTGCATTGTATGTCTGCAAAGACTGCGAGAAAAGAAGAGGCGTTTAAAATTGGCCGAAATCAAACATAGAAAGGTCTGTTCTGTCGTTTCTCACAACTTCAAATCAATGTCTTCTGGGAGAAAGGGAAACCATCCTTCAGAACTTTTTCTTAAATTATTCTTGCCTAGCAGGATACATTAATCCACTTAGTTCGGCAACATTTACTAGTCATGCTGAAATCCACTATAATGTTGGCAGAAAGCTATCCGTAAGAAGTCCGGAATTACTGCTCTTTTTGTGAAGTCCAGTTACTTGATACAGCTTGAAGAACCAAATTTGATCGTAGTCAGTACGCCCATAAAGTACCTTTCGTCCTGATTAGCAGCGCATCTCCAGTCAGCCGCTTCCATTAGATCCTCTGTCGCATCGCGGCGTATTCTTCAGGCATCCCACGCACGACAGTCCTTAAGGTTCCAGCTAATACAGCGATCATAGCTTTTCGGATATTTGCAGCTAGGTGCATCAGCTATGCATCTCGCTAGTAAAGGCCGTCAGCTCTAAAATTAGTTAAAAAAAAGCAGAAGACGTAAAGAAAAACGCAGAAAACAAAGCGATAGTAGAGTTGAGACTAAGTTTTTAGTTAAGAAAAAGACATCTACGAAAGCATAAAAAACACCGAACAAAAGCTAAAAAAGTACGTTTCGAAGTTCAATACTCAGACACTGATCTCTTTGATCATAAAAACGTTCTGCAGGAAACTGTAAAGACTTCTACGGGTACTGAAGAAAAGAAGGATGGACAGAAACTGTCAGCTGAAGCATTGCAATCAAAATCCACTCCAGATGAAGTGACCCCAGCCAGAGCCGCAGCTTCACCTCCTACCGCCACCAGCGGTAACTACGTAAATGCGGCTGACCTGACCTTGGATATTTTGACAGCTTCTACACAATCGGAAGAGGACATCCAAAGCTGAATCCAAAGCTGAAGCAAGAAAACTTTAGGCTTGTTATTGTCAAATTGTGTATAGGTAAAAAACTTCATCGAAGGCGAAAACATTATAGAATAAATAATTTAAACAATCGTTTGAAATTATAAGTTTGATGTGGATGCGTTTACATTATTCATCGATGATGAATTAGCTGACCGGTTAATAGTTCATTGCCGGCAAGTTGAATGCAAACTTCTAAAAATTTCCACTCTTCTCCTAATTTATCGCTGGACAGCAGTGGCAATATGAGCAAATTTTTAGGAGGAAAGGAAGTAAGTAGGAAGACCGGGAGATTCCTTCAAGAATTTGAAAAGAATTTGCAGCTTTCGTGTTGCCACTTAGCTTTGTTTGTGAGTTGTAGTGCTTTGATGCCTCGTGTAGTTCTGCTTTCCTGTCTGCGGTTTTCACTTTATTATACTTGTTAAAACTTAGAAAAAGGGTTTAAGGAAACTTTAGTATTTAGCGGCACCATGAAGTCGCTCAAGCTTCAGGTTATCCTGGTGAAAGTACATCTTCTGCATTTGGTGAAGCTTCATCCCAAGGTTCTATTTGGCTGTGTCGGAAAGTGTCCTGCGTCTGATGGAGGAATCTCCATTTTAGTCTGGCTTCTCAGAGAATTTTGCAATCTCTGGATAACTTTTCGGTTTTTGTGAGTATTCGCAAGGACCGATACTACTCCTAGACGGTCTAGGGTGGTGTTTGCTCCTAGAAACGGCGCGGGTTGAAACAGGCAGTCTTGCCATACCAGTTTAACTGTTTGCGAGTCTTCTCATCCCCCCCTCCCCCTCCCTCCTTCCCCTAGTTTATCTAGAGCCCCGTTCACTGATTTACAAAATCAGTGAACGAGGATCCGATGCTGCATGGAGATACAGAATTTCTGACATCGAAGCTACAAATTATAACAGCTTTCCAAAGCGATCAATGCATTAAAGGCAATGGGCTCAATCGTAATCTTGGAATTATGAAGAAGCGAGATGGAGCCCTCCTATATTTATAAGCTAGCACCCACTAACAAGAGCACCTTTTCCTCCTAAAATATAACATTGTAGGTTGAACGTTCTTCTCAAGTTCCCCTTCGCTCTAGCCTACGAACTCAGCCTCAAGCCCAATAAGGTAACGAAAATGTCACTGCTTCGATGCAGGAGCCTTGAGAGTGAACTACAAATTTCCCTGGTAGTTCGTCATAGCTTTTCAATATTCTCAGAAACTTCTCCTGCTTATGTCAGGGGCCTAGGCCCATGAAAGATGCACACCACATGCTGTATACTTGGATGCTATGTCGCAAACACCAACCTGGGCCAGCTATTGACTAGAGAGATGTA